AGCTAGGCTCTCTAGCTACATAAAAGTTTAGAACATTTTCATGCATGTAGTTCTTTAGGTATAGTATTGAAAATAGGGTGTCCTTTTAGGTCCCCTTTTTCTTTTTTCTTTCTTTCTTTCTTTCTTTTTTTTTTTTTTTTTAAACTTTTAAAAAGTTGGTTAGATGGTAGTGTTGGTCATTTCAACACAATATTTCCACAATCATTTGTCTTACTGTACATTTGCCTTACAGATAGCACTGGGGGATTGAGTTTAAGGTATGAGTGCATGGAAATATATGTGGACTAAACAAAATAATAAAATGTAAATTATACGGGAAAGTGTAAAAATTTATCTCTGTATTGAGTACTAATGTTTTTTCCTTCCAGATATATTGGAAGGACAAGATAATCGTGATGATGATTCAAGAAATACAAGATGATTTATGTAGCTCCAGCTATGAAGAAAGACAATTTGTGAAAGTAATTTTCTCTATCTTAGTTTTTAACTTAGGTTTAGATCACTTTGTAAAGTTGGCCCTAAAAGGAGGTTAAATTTTGATTCTTAGTAGTGCAATTGAGAGTGAGAAATCGAAAGTTTGAAAAGTTTAGAAAGTAAAGTTCGAGAAAGTTTTTCTAGAATTTAAAGCTCTCAACAAAGTCGTTATGAGACCTTTTTTGTTCGAGTACTTAAATTCTGATAAGGAAAAATATAAGGTATATTTTTTATGACAGTTATTTTAATTTTGAAACCCTTTCCTGTCGATTTTTGTTTAACTTACAACTCCCTACCAGAATGAGTTTTTAGAATCACATTGAATGCAAATGAGTTAGAAGAAGTATTTAAGGAAGGTTTGGCTTACTTCAACAGAGTGCTAGCTGTCCTTAGTGGTGCATGTTTGCCTTCTGGCACTAATATTTGAATGAAACCTAATTCAAGAGATTTATATCCTTCCAATTAGACAATAAATACATGAAATACACTGAGAATTAAGCCGAAGCACTAAAACTGGAAATACAGAAAAAACGTTGCAATTATTTCATAAAGGTTTGTTACATTCTAGATCCTAATTCAGAATCTGTTTAAGCTGTAATTATAATTTAATGGGCACACACATACATTTACAGTTCGAGTACTGGATTTTTTTTCAGAGTTGCTATGAACTTCTAAAAAAAAACTGTTTCCAGATACAGATGAGGGCAAGGAAATTGAAACACCTGCAACTATAATGTAATATTCTACTGATATAGTGTATGTAGTGTTTTTAGAATAGTACCATTTTTCAACCAATGGCTGGATTTGCTCATCTAAAACACATCAATAATTCTTAACAATGTGAATATCAAGAACAATGAATATTCCCAGAAGCTTTCCTGATACTGCTACCCAAACTATCACCGATCCATCTCTCTGCCTCAGTCTGTGCAAGAGGCAGTCTCGAATGATATGCGTCTACACCAATTCTCCTTACTTAAACTCTCCCAGAAGTGGGAAAAGAAAAAGGCAGTGAAAGTGGACTTTAATCATGAATTGCATACTGGACAAGTTTCTCCCCTCAAAATACTGAAACTGCCTTTAGTATAATTAGCGGTTATTACAAGCTTTACCATAACTGCCAGAATATGAATGTAAACATTATAAAGCCATAAATAAGCAGTTTTTGTAGAAAAAGTTTCAGTTTTGTAATTTAAGCAGCTATTGTTGTACTTTAGGTTACATTCTTTTCAACATACTAACAATCTGTTTAAATAACTTTCTCTTTACTCAGCAAGTATCCGAATTGGATGAAATTCTCCATTTTTCTAGGTATGAAGATGCAAGTTTGGATACTGTGGCCTTTGATAAATTAGAAAGACCTGCCCTGTTAACAGATACACAAACCAGAGGAGCATAAACATTCTTCTTTTGAACTTCAGTACTCCCCTGATTTAAATCCCAAATTTTCAATGCTTAAAATTAATACCTCTAATACCACCATAATTTCAAACTTAACATAGTGGCGCTCTTGATAAAATCTGAAATTATTCAGAATTCCCATGCTGGCTTAGAATATGAAGAGCTTCATTTTGCCAAATATCAAATATTTCAGTTTCATCATCCAATTCCTTTACATACTTATTAAGATTTATACACTGAGCTGGGAGACTAATTACTTGCAAAAGTAAGCAGGGAGACTAATTGCTTAGTTTATTAAACGATATTATTGCCTTCCTGGTTATTTTTAATTTAGCATTAATAAACAATTAGCTTTCCTATCTACATTTTTTAATAAGCTTTTCATGCAGTTTTATGAAAAAGGATTTAACTCTGAGTATAAAAAAAAAAAAATCAACAAAAGTTTAAAAAAATTAGAGAAAACTTGCTAGTAACTTATTTATTCAGTTAGATGACATTCCACATATCCTTTTTAAATTAGACTGCCATTCAAGTGTCTCAGGTAATTTACTCTTCAAAAAGCAGATGATGTGAAAGAAAAGTTAATATCAAAACTTGCCAAAACTTGCTCAAGTTTTATCTACTTCAGCAAGTTTTCTATAGAAATGTTTTTGTCTATATGATAATCTATGAGGAATTTCAACTTTTCTAATGATGTGCTTGAATAGCAGCTGAAGATGATTATTCTGGAAATCCTTTGATCATTACAACATCAAAGTAAACTTTCCCATTCGTTTATTGGACAAATAATACCACTGAGCAGTCTGATATTGGTAATACTTACCTAACATTACAGCAATGCTCTTGCAGCTAATTTAATATAGTGCTATTTAATAACACTGCCAAAAAGTAACTTATCAATATGCTGTTTGTTCCATTAAAACTTTAAACACCTAAAGAATCCAATTACCATTGAAATTTATATATATACAATTTAAATTTTTGTGATTAAGTTATCCAGTAATTAAATATTTCGTAACTAAAAAACTCATGCTACTTAAATTTCTTTAGCTTATAAATAAATATGCCTGAAAAAGGCATTTATAACCTACATAAATAGAGGTGAATATTTTTTGATAAAATCATTAATGCTAACTTGTTTTAAGTGACATGTTAAACAGCAATTCAGCCATTTTCCAAAGTCTGATTTCAAACATTTAGCATTCATAAATTGTAAAATCAAAATAACATGAGAGGAAGATATCCTATTTTTCAAGATTTAAAAAATTTTCCAATATTTTAAGGAATTATAGGAAGTCCTCCTTTTTCTTAGAGGGACTCAAATTTCACTCATTCCTGAAAGATATCAAAATACCATTATGCCTGGAAATTATAGTTTACTTCTCCTTTATCGTATGTGCTTACTCTAATTGGTCTGAAGATGACACTGAAATATATTTTTTTAAAAAAGGCCGTCCCCTTTCTTTTTAAGGGAGGAAGAATAGAAAGTGAAATTAAATGTCCTCTTCCTAGGAGAATTTAGAATACCTTCTAAGGCTGCCAAATGCTCAAAGGAATGAAATTAAGGAGCAGTACCTTTGGAGATGTACCAGTGAATATCCACTAATGCACAAATATATACAGTACAAAGTCTTTAATCCGAACTCGTCAGGACTTCAGATATTCCGGATTAGTGGTTTTTCAGGATTATAGATCATCAATTTAAATTTGGTAAGATGGCATGCAGAAATTATAAAATCAAAACTATGAAAACGTAATTTATGAAATAAAGAACAATTATGATCTAAAGGGTATCAAAATTTACAAAAAAAAAAAAAAAAAAAAAAAAAAAAAAGAGATTAATATGTATTTGTTTACATTATTAAACATTTCTTTCGATGTATGTTGTTTAAGTTGCTTCATTTTCTGTGCTAATACTTTCTCTTTAATTCTATAAACAGACATAATTTCTTGTTCAGTTCCACTATTCAACTCCTGTAATTGCTGTGTCGAGAATACCGATTAACTTGTCAATCGAAATTTTTTTGTTTTTAATAACCTCTGTGTCACTTTCTTCATTATCAGAAGCGGTACATCGGTACATCGAAACATGCTTTCGCTTTGTAGATCCTTTGGCAGTTCCAGAATCGGAAACTCTTTTTGACATAATCGAAAGTTCAAGCTTACTTTTTATAAAATTGCTCTAACAGTCTGCAAAAAATAATAAGCCGGATCCAATTAGAAGATTAAGGAACAATGCAATCTGCGACATTAACTGAAATAGATAATTACAGAATTTTAGCCTAGCTTATACCGTCTGTTATACATTAAACGGGCATGCATAAACGAATATGCGCATGCATAAAGGTATTATGCACATATGCATTTACGCATGCGCAGAAAGTTTGTAGCTTTGAGGTCCGGATTATAGATCATTCCAGATTATAGACGTCCGGACTAAAAACTTTGTACTGTATATATGTAATATATATATATATATATATATATATATAAACTGATGTCCATTAAACATATGATTCAATTGAAATCCTATTTAAATTAATATGAAAAAATTTGAGACTAAAGAAGTGAGCCCAAAGCCAAGTCATTTCCTGTTTAAATCATTCAAGTAAATATTAACTATATTATTTTATATTCTGATCTTATTCAAACTTAGTTAAACAAATGTGATTCAACCAGAAGTTTAAATTTTTATCAATAACTTCAATAAAATAAACAGATTTTAGTTTATCTCATAAATACTAATGCAATTCAAGCATCGAATTATGATTTATTTTACTAAGCATGAAGATGCTAACATTAACTAGCAATATTATCTCGGTAGTAAACAGAAATCTTCATTGTATACTAAATACAATAAAAAATATGCATAATATTTTAAATAACTATTTATTTTATCAAATTTCAAATAAAACTTCGTAAAATAAATTAAATTCATCATACATAAAATAATACAAGAGTAACATAAAATAATACAAGAGCTGCAGTAAGTATTCAAGCCATATGCAGTTTAAGCAAAAGAACTTATACATCATAATCATGAGATTTTTATACTGATTATATTCTAATAAATAAAGAAAAGTGGACCAAAATAATTTTGTCTTTAGCAGAAAAAAAACACTCACCACATTAAGTAACTTTAAAGCATCCACAAATATTTCCTCAGATGTCATTATTTCTTGAGCAATATAAAAAATTTTCTTCTTTTTCCTGAGCAAAGCTACTTCTGTCAGATTTGTTGTATCTCCATGGGGTAACTCTCCATCACTCTCTTCAGATGATGACATAGGCCAAAGTTCTGATGTGGATGATTGAATGCTAGGTGCCTTTTTTAATTTATTTCCAAATTCATCTCCTAAATTCTTTTCAGAATCACTTGCAGACACTGGTGGAGTATTGCTGTCTTCTTCAAAGCCTTCACTAACAGACTTATGCCTATTTATTATTGTTTTTAATTCATTTTGTAAGGTTTGAGCTAGATCAAGAAGCTCATCTGTATCATCTGATTGTTCATCTCGTGATGCAACTCCCTGAGACAGAGTTTCCAAAGATGTTTGAACAGATTTTTCTGAACAATCCAAAGGTAAGGGAGATGTTTCTTTGTCTACAAGGCAAATACCTGTGTTCTGCTCTACATCAACATAAAATTTAGATGTCTGTCGCATCTTTTTCACTGGATCAGATTTACGACGCATGGAAATTCTCGGTTGCACATGCAGTTTATTTTCAGCAGAAACATTAGTGTCCCAATCAACTACTTCCCATGATTCTTCAACTAAATCATTTTCATCATACCAACTGGAATGGGATTTTTGTCTTGAAGTCTTATTTTTTTTCTGACGAGGAAAAGGGTTTGCTCTATCATCAGAGACATCCGTACTTTTAGCTGCATCAACAACATCTGCGCCAGGAATGTTTTGACTTTCGGGAAAATTCAGAATTTCATTTCCACATTCATCTAAAACAGGAGAAGAGTGATGAACATCTGCTATAACAGGAAAAGCTACATTAGCATTTTCATCATATTTTGAACTTAAAACATATTTTAACCTTCTTTCTGGTTTTAAAGGAACACTTAATGAACGTGACATTTTGGTATCACCATTTGGTGTTATACTTTCAAGTTCCACTCTTCTATCTTCGCTACCAAGACTTAAGAATCTTTGTTTCCCACCTTTTCTTTTCCTAGCAGGTGGTTTTAAAGATGAATGTTCGGAAATTGGAGATTTAGATTCATCAAAAATTAGAGATTTAGATTCAGTCTTACATCCTTCATCATCCACTGTCTTTTTTTCTTTAGGCTTGCATTCTAATGAACGGAATTTCCGTGGTGGAGGTGGTGGGGCTGGTAATGGACGACTGACAGCATTTTCTAGATTTGAAAATTCCAAATCAATCTTTTTACTATCTTTATTTACAACTGTATACAAAGATTTCAATTCTGGCTTTTTAGAATCAGGACTTAAATGAGTTATTCTCTTTTCAACATCAATATCAGATAACGACTGACTTCTTCGCAATTCAGTTTCCGATTTTTTTTCAACTGGTACAATTTCTACTGTACGAGATCTTATTCTGCGATTTCGAGGAGGAGGCTTAGGATAATTTTCATTTTTATTTGAAGATGGTGGTATCTGAAAAATATTTTTTTTAGATGAAGTTGCATCTAAAATACATATTTCAGAACTACTAATAATAACATTATCCTGCTCAGCAGAAACATTAATAATACTTTTTTCAGCTTCTACTACATCATTAGAAACATCTTTAATTTGTTCAGAATGAATATCAGTGGAGCTACTACTTTTAGCCTCCATGTCTTCTATTTTAATATTAGTTTGTGCTGTTTCACTGGCTAACTGTCTAGACTCCGTATCTGTAATTTCAGTAGCAGGTGTTAAGTCAAGTTTTTCTATATTAACCACAGGCTCGGTTAAGTTAATATTAGAAGAGTCTTTTTCAATCTTCTGCACATCTTCAGGAGATACAACAGATTTCTGATAAGATTCCTTTTCTTTCCCTTCTTCTACATTTTGATATGATGGATGTTCTTCAGAAGATTTAACATGAGTAACAATTGTTGGTGGTGGTGGTCTAGGAGGACAAGCAGATGGTTTTGAAAGCACTGGAGGAGGTGGTCTTGGAGGAGATATAGTTCTTTTTTCTTTTGGTACATCTGAAGATGCTACACTTTCTCTCTTAGGTTTCTCTGGAACTGATGGTGAAACTGTTCCCGCTAGCTGCTTCATGTCCTTTCGTTTAACTGGTGGAGGAGGCCTTTGAGGAAAAACTTTTCTCTCAAATGAAAATTTTTGCGGACTTTGAGAACTTAACAGATGTGGTGGAGAAGATTTTGTAGATGTGAGCACAGGATGAGATGAAGAAATATTTGATATTGTTTTTAAAGTTTCATTTTTGAGAACAGTATCAAATTTCCTTTCTTTGACTTGATTTTGTTGTACACTTTTAGTTTTGGATTGAGGAAGTGTGGTAAATTCAGTTCCTTTTACCTCAGCAACCATTAGAGGACGCTTTGTTGTTCCAACAGAATCTTTCCCAAATTTTGAATGAAGCCTCGGAGACAGTGAAAGACCATTAATACATTGTGAAACGGAATTTTTTTGATCTGATGGAGATATGTAAGCATTATTTTTTATAATATTTTGTTTAGGTAACATAACAGGCTTTGGTGGTAAAGGTGGTGGAATTTTTTTATTATGTAATTTCTTTTTTGAATCACTAGCTGCAGTAACAGCTTTACCTACAACATCACTTCCTTTTTCAGCAGGTTTTAGCTTGTGAACTGAAACAATTCCTTTATCTTTTTGTCTTGAAATGGAATCTAATGAATATGAAACTTCCTCATTCTTAATTTGTTTAGCAGATAATTTTGAAAATGATGAATCATAACTACCAAGACTAACTGTTTCTAAAGCAGCATCAGAGAAAGTTTCATCTTTCAAAGTCACATTGTCAGCTGTATAATAACTTGTCATACCACTACAAGTACTAGGAACACTAAAAGTATCAACTTTGTTATCAAATTTATATCTATTAATAAGCTCATAATCCATAATATAATCAAAATTCTCTACATCTTTATAATCACATGATGACTCTGTTTCATCATCAGCAAAACGTATGCCATCATAACCAACAGGAATGTTATCACCCACACTATGTCCTTTACTCTGCAACTCTTGCAGACGTCTTGAAACTGCAGCTGCTCTTGCTTTTGCTATGGCTTCAGCTGATGGTTTGGGAGGTTTCTTGGGAGGAGACTTGGTCTGATCTGAAACTATCTCTAAAGCTTTGTTACGAAGTAATACTGCCACTCTTAGACAACAAGTTTGATATAATGTCTCTGGTGTTCCAGGCTCTACAGCATATCCTACTTTACAGCTTCCTTTTTCTTTCTGCACATTATCATTAATTATTGGTTGAGAAACTGCTGTTTCAGAATCTACCTTCTTTTCTTTTGTTACAATTATTTCTGTTTTTTCTGGTTTGCTTGCTTGAGAGCCTTTATCATTTACCAATGAAAAATCATCTAACTGTTTAAATGTTCCAGCGATCTGCTCAGGAACTTCTTCTGAAGATCCAACATTTTGTAGATCATATTCTTGGAACTTCTGATTATCCTGGCTCATATTTTCATTCTTCTTTGTATTACTCTGCATAACTCTGTCTCGCATTGCAAGTATATTATCACCAAAAGAACTAAACATAGATCCTTTTGTATCTATAGAAGTAGAAGGCTCATCCACTTGAATTTTTGGTACATTCTTTGCTGAATCAAGTTTTTGACTATCAGTACTTTCAGGTTTGGAAGAATCCTTAGGTCGAAAAGAGCCGAAAAATTTCTTTACTCCATGTAAATTATCTTTTGTTTCTTTATTCTGCTCTTTTCCTGAGCTTGCTACAGTGACACATATATCATCAGCATGTTTTTCCATAGGCAAATCTACTTTATCATATATATTTTCACTTTTTGCACCATGTTTTTCATCTTTTGATTTTATCGATACATCTTTATGACGAAATGATTCAATTAGCTTCTTCATACCTTGAGATCCTTCTGTGTCTTTTTTAACACCCTTTCCTTCCAAGTTATCGATTACTTTTGACTCTGACTGAATATGAAAACTGGCAACAGATTCTACAGATGGCTTCTCAACAACATCATAAATATGTTCATTTTGCTTTTTTTCATGTGTCAGTGGAGCATGAGATTGACTAGATGCTTTAGAAATACTGAAAGACTCAAAAAAGCTTTTCCTTATAGGTACAGATTCTTTTTCACTTGTGCATTCTTTGAAAGACTGAGAACGTTTAATTATTTTTGCCTTTGGTTCCCCTAATGACTTAGTATCTTTTTGTTTATCTTGCTTTTCATGCTTAAATGAATCAAAAAAGTGTTTCATTCCATGTGCACTTTCTTTCTGCCCCTCATTTCCTTCAGTGGTTCCTTTATCTTTCCATTCAAAATAATCTTTAAAGGACTGAGAACGCTTAATGCCCTTATCCTTCTTTAATTTGGCAGTTTTATTATCACCTTGCAATTCATGACTTTCATGCTTAAAAGTATCAAAAAATTTTCTAACAGTATGTTTCTCTTCCCTCGCTTTCTCAATGAGATTATCTTTTTGATTTTCATCAGAAATTTCTACAGATGTAAGGGAAAATGTAACATTTTTTTCTTTTTGATCATCCATACTTTTAATCTCACCCTGTATTTCACTTCCATCATTCTTGAAAGAATCAAAAAATTTCTTTACACCATGAAAGCTTTCCTTATGCTTTTTATCACTACTAGCGACTTTTACAGGCTTTTCTTTTTGTGTATCAGTTGATTCATGCGTAAAGGAATCAAAAAATTTTTTAACACCATGAAGACTATCTTTTGATGTAACTTTTGGAACTTCAACTGTTTTTTCTTTCACGGGTATTTCTTCTTGATTTTCTGAGGTGATGATTATTGGAATTTCCTTAATATCTTTTGCAGATTGAGTTTCATGTTCAGATACAGTAGAAATTTTAACTGGAGTTTTTATTCGGATTTTATCTTCATCAGAAGATTCCGATAATACAACAGAATTTGGCCTGCTCCCATCAGAAGCATCATGTCTAAAAGAGTCAAAAAATTTCTTTATACTATGTTTTGAATCTCCATGATGCACTTTAGAAGTACCATGACTTTCTACAATTTCAGAAACTACAGTCTGGATTTCAAGTGCATCAGAATTTTCAACCTGTGCCTTTTTTTGCACTTTCAACTTATCTTCATGAGAACATTCAGATAGCACAACAGAAGCAGGTCTGCTTCCATCAGATGTATCATGTTTTCGGGAATCAAAAAATTTCTTAATACCGTGTTTTGAATCTTTATGAAGAGCTTTAGAAGTATCATGACTTTCGACATTTTCAGATACTACAGACTGAACTTTAGTAGAACCTTCAACTTTTGCCTTTGGCTGCATTTCTAATTTACCATCATCAGAGCCCTCAGATAATAAAGCAGAAACAGGTTTGCTTCCATCAGAAACATCATGTTTAAGAGAATCAAAAAATTTCTTTATACTGTGTTTTGAATCTTTGTGGTGAGCTTTAGAATTATCATGGATTTCTACAGTTTCAGACATTATAAGTTGAGTTTCAGGTACAGTAGAACTTTCAACATTTGCTTTTGTTTGCATTTCCAACTTACCATCATTAAATCCCTCAGATATTACAACAGAGGCAGGTCTGCTTCCATCAGATGTATCATGTTTAAAGGATTCAAAAAATTTCTTTATGCCATGCTTTGAATCTTTGTGATGTGCTTTAGACTTATCATGACTTTCTAAAGTTTTGGAAACTACAGTCTGAATTTCAGGTACATCAGAATTTTCAACCTGTAGCTTTGTTTGTATACCTAAGTTATCTTCATTAGAATACTCAGATATTACAATAGAAGCCGGCCTGCTGTCATCACAAGCATCATGTTTAAAGGATTCAAAAAATTTCTTTATACTATGTTTTGAATCTTTGTGATGTGCTTTAGAAGCATCATGACTTTCCGTAATTTCAGAAACTGCTGGCTGGATTTCAGACAAACTTTTTTCCTTCTGATCAACTGAATCCTGCTTAAAAGAATCAAAAAATTTAACTATATGGTGCTTAGCATCTTTAGACTGTGCTTTTGATCCACTATCAATTTCTTTTGTTTTTTGTCCTTTAGGAGATACATTTCTTACCTCAATATCAGATTCTGTTCTATCTGGGCTAAATATCTTCAAAATACTATGCTTACTTTCTTTGTGTGGTTCTTTAGCAATACCCTCCTTTTTAGAGTCCTTTTTAGAGTCAAATTGCTGAAGCTGTTTATCCTTATCTGTCTGCTGGTTCTCATGACGGAATGAATCAAAAAACTTTTTCACACCATGTGCACTGTCTTTTTTACTTTCATTTGGTTCACCTTCTTGCACCTTCTGATGATCTGTAATGTCTGCATGTTTCTTATCTTGCTCTGACAAAGATTTTGTTTCTTTAGTTGGTGAATGTAATTTAGGAAATGATGGCATCCACGAAAAGCTGGGAGACTTTGGCTTTGAATCAGCAACAGAGGTAGTATATTCTTCACGTAATTCATTATCAGCAACAATAATTCCTTCTTCCTCATGACTAAAGAAATAAATTAATTAATTGTAATAAAACATACAAACAAGTAAAATTTTCTGAGCATTATGAAAAGCACAATTTAAATTTTCAGAATATTTTCATGCACGAAAAATTAATCTGAATGATTATGCAATTGTGTTATCTTTTAATGCAAAATAATAACCTTCATTCTAATAAAAAAAATAAACTCAATTTATTTAACAATTCTTTTTATACATACATAAGTTTGCAATTTGTTTATGCACAAATTCATTTCATATATAAAGAATAAAATTAAACTGCCTAATAGTATATCAGCAATATGTCAAAGTTAAATTTAAAACATAAAACCTATAAGAAAAAATACATGTAATAAAAAGAAAAGTCTATGAAGCATTAATTTAGAAATTAAATAAGACACATACAAGAAATATTAGGACACAAGATCTTAAAAAAATATTTTTACACAACAAAGAAAGGTACTTACTCTCACTTGAGAAAAAATGCAGCAAGAAAAAATTTAAAAATAATATAGTGATTTAAAAATGCATAAGCACACAGTTAAAACTTTATAGCAATTTTATGAACTTTTAACTAGTTTATAAAAAATTAAGGGACATTCTTATCATGAAAACCCCACACTTTCCACAAAGTTGCCAACCATTTGTGACTAATTTTACAACGTGAAAGACAACAGCCATTTTCAAAAATGGTATCCTAAGAAATACATAAATAAAAACCAATTAACGAAATTAAAAATAAAAGAAATATCGATCTTTTTATATTTTATTTTTATTTTAATATTATTATTCATTTTCCCTCCTATTCACCTTGTACATACCATGATTTGTTTCAGCTTCAAAAAGAACGAGAACTGCATAAAACCCAGCATCACACACAATTTGGCACTGCATGCACTGTTGTTTCTTTCCATGATTACAGCAATGCATTTTTGAATTCAAAAGCATCATAAAACTGCACAAATTTGCATGCTCTTGTTTTTCTATGTGCACAGTGACCTGTTTTCTTTTTAAAAAATAGCAGAATTGCAGATATTCAGCAGTAGTGTACAAATTTTTATACATAAAATTAAATTGTTTATGAAGAACAACTTCATGGAGTGTGAACTTTTTGCATAATCTACTGTCAGGCAAAAAGCCATATTTCTGAAGAAATGCAATGCTTTTTCTATTTCATCAGGCAGCAAACATCACAGTTCCATAGCAGTTCCTTACAAGGGGGGAAAATGAAAAAAAAAAAAAAATTAACAACCATTGAAAACTTGAAAGTGTAAATGTGGCTGACACAGGAAATCAGGACTTATCTGTTGCATGCATATATGGGCTGCCACATTAACCCCTTAACTGCCGCAAGTGTACATATACGCCTTGCTCAGCCAATACGTTAACTGCCCCGGGTGTATATATATATGCCCTTCCAAAATGCTACCATTGGCTTCTTTGCGCTGCTGCCAGTAAAATCATTCGCAAAGTTTTAGAATGTAACACCATAATGACCTTGACAGAATATGCAAGGAGGATACCATTTCAGAAAAGAGAAAGGAAAGAATTGGAAGCAGGATGTATCTGAAGCAGTGAAAGTAATGACTGCACGGTCATTGGTCATGTTTCTTTTTTGAGTAAAACTTTTTTTTTATTCTGCGTATTCCCTTTTAGTTTACCGTTTATAGTAGGTACTTATTTTACGAATACGACCGACAGTGATTACTAATTTGACTGCGCAGTTATTGCTCGTGTTTCTGTTTGAGTAAAACATACTTTTTTTAATCTGTGTCTTCCGTTTTCGCTTACTGTTTGTAGTAGATGTTGTTTTTACGAATATATATATATATGTCAGTGAAATAGATGATTACTTTTCTTAACCTTCAGGATCGAACACCTCAGAATATGGTATTATGTGAGATGAAGAGGATTGCAACAATTCTTCGAAAGATGCTCGACGTTGGGCACGACTTGATATGAAAAACTTGCCTATGCCACCGCCACACTTTCCATTTAGGTATACTGATTTTACAAGGTATAACACTGAAACCTGATATTACACTTTACTGGTCTAATAATAAATTGATCGAAACTCCATTTTTGGGGATCTTTTTATTATAAAAACATCATTTTTATTATATCTACACTTTTTTATTATATTTTTACTCTAAACATTAAATTTTGTATTTTCAATTCTTCTTTTATTCTTTATTTTGTGAAAGTAAACAGTTTTCATAGAGCAAAACTTGCATTTATTTTCCCCCTAACACATCGCATAACTAGGTGCACCTGGGTAAAAAACAGTGGCACTGGGGAGTGAATTTTGTATGTTTTCCGTGGCAGTTAAGGGGTTAATACATTTTTGCCAACATCATAGGTTACCTATTTTGGTGACAATGAGTGCTGCTTCCAAAAGGGGATGGCTAATTAAAAATACCAAAATTAATATAATATCTGTTTACTATTTTCTTTTGTATGCAATGTTATAATACTGAAACACATTTATCTATTTAAAAGGCATGAAAACTGTAACAGCAAATATATCAGCATTAAAAATTTGGCAAATATACATAACTTGCTTGGTGAATCTTTGGCTTATGATCAATAAGTTCTAGATTACACTTTAAATAATCCACATTTATGCCGTAGCTAGGTCATTGAAGCAAGAACTAACTTACACAAAACTAGAAATATTTATTTATTTATTCAAAACAGTCATTTTGATGGGTTTCTTTCTTTTTTTTATATCACACTATGTTTTTAATTCTCATCAAAAGTAAAGCAAATCTAAAAAAATACAAGCAGATAAATTTATCAAGGTAAATGTTTAGCAAAAGAAACCATATATGATGCTTATATAATTATTCAACAAGATTAATTTTCAGATTTAAAAAATAAAAAAATTGGAGAACTGCATTATGTACCTATTTTAGTACAGTTATACTAAAATATTCGGAAGAGTTACATTAAAACATGTATATTAGTAAGCAGCCAATGTACGTGGATCATATAATTTTTTATTCCCTTTTAAAAAATTATGTCTATTTTAGATGCTCACATTAACCTCTATTCATAGCAGATTTAAAATATAAACATGGAATACGCAGTCTGTGTATGTAGTAAATACAATTTTCAATTTCACTGCTAAAATTCTGTCTTCTTGGCTACAGTTCATGGAAAACTATGTAAGTATCAGAGATCAGACTTTAATAACATTTTGAGAATAACTAACTTTCAGTGAGCATATTAAGAAATATGATTCCTTTTAGATAGCATGAAACAAAAATTTTTACTTTCACATTAAACTGGCAATACTTCCTACACATTAATAAGATTCTAAACTATACAAATCCTAAAATCTTCATGATATGACAGAAAACAGAGGATTGCAAATCCCCCCCATTCATTCTAAAATATAAACAATTTTATATCTTATGGCTTTTACATATCAGGAAAATATATTTAAAGCTTGATTACAGGACAAAATGTTAACAACAGAGAAGTAAAATTGCTTTTTTATGCTTAGGAACTTGAACTGAATAATATAGTTTTTTTTAATACACACTGAAAAATATCTAATATATATTGAAGCCCTGAGTATAAAATTCTAATTTTAAAATCTATAAATCCAAAAATAATTTTCAAGGCAAAAATATTTTGACACGTATTCCTCAATTTTTTTTTTCCCCTCCATACTAGAAGCAATTTTTAGGATGCATACAATATAAGAAAATATGTTTAAATGTCATCCAGATAATAACAGTAGTACTTATGCTATATGCATATTTTCTAGAAAACTGGTGGTTAGAGTAGACAGAAAGGTACCCATTGTATTATCGCAAAGTTGTTGTTTCATTCATTGCCAAGCCGTTGTTTCATTTATGGTAGCCTGAGTAGTTGAGTGTTATGGAAACCTTATTATGACATAGTCGGTTGCATGACTGTGGTAAATTCATCAGAGCTTGTGGTGTGTGTTGGTTAGGCAGTATATTGCTTGTTTTGTGGTTTAGATGGTAAAATAGCCGAATGTGGTAAGATTAATTTGAAGTTTCAGTACGATTTGGAAAGAAAGGGGAAAAGAGCATTACTTGACTGGTGTGTAAATAAAGTACTTACTTGACTGGTGTGTAAATAAAGTACTTACTTGACTGGTGTGTAAATGAAGAATTTACTTAGTAGCCATTATTAGGTGTCCTGTTTGTAGGAAGGAAATGCGTATGGTCGAACATTGTTACGGAGGATATTTTTTACTTTTATTTTGTTAATTTATGTGGTGATGCCAGTATACAGATTCTAGTTCAGATAATTTTTTTGGATGCTGTTAAGAAATTTTGTTTGACTGAAGACGTGTTAATCCGTAAATAAGGTAAGTGGATATTTCCTTTGTGTAGTGCAAAGATGAATTTCCTTTTTTATGTTATTTCATTGTTTGATTTAAAATGCAGTTTATTGTGATCATATATATATATATATATATATTGTTTGCTGCTTCTTCGACTTTTTGACACAAAAATCACCGCAACACAAAGCCAAAATAATAAAACAAAGAATTGCACAAACTCGGTACCTATGTACACATCGACCTATTTTCACTTCGAAAAAATCAGAAAATTTCACAAACTACACTTTACCCACTCCCTTGACTTTGTCCATGTACACAATCGCCGCTACACAAGCCAAAATAACAAGTCAAAGAATTGCACAAACTTGGTATTTGTGTACCACCAAAAATCGTCAAGTTTCGCTAAAGGAGTACACGTTAATATACTTTTACCAAACTGGTTAATAGCTACTAATTAATACAACTGTCTGTATGTTAATAACTCCATTTTTATCTCTATTAAATGTATTAGCTATTAAATCTTAAAATTTTGAAATTAAATAACTTCTTTCATTAAATGTTATATTAGTTTTTTAAAAAATATCAATAATTAACTCAAGTCTATCAATAAGTATTTTTCTCCAATATACTGACTAGCAGCATTATGAAATAAATAAGATTTATTACTGGAATTTTAGACAGGAAATTTGTTCTTAATTTTTTTTTTTCCCCCTGCTGAAATTAAAATAGATTTGAACATGTTTGTTAAAAAGCAACACAAGTAATAACTTTCAGTGATTAAATAGGTAAGATGGTATAAACAACTTACAGAGAAAGTTATCTTTTTAAAACATAAATCTAATTTTTTTTTAACTAATCATAAATGATGATTCGTAGATATTGCTAACTTTTCTGTTACTTACAAAACTTAATATTTTTTTATTTTTTTAATAATGTAATAGTTATAAAATTCAGATATCTCAGATAATGGCTACCTAAATAAAAACATATTCTGACGGACATTACTAGTCAAGTATAAGTATAAAATGTTTACAGTAATATTGTATAATTAGGAAGTTTTGGTATTAATGGCCACTTTAAAGATCAGAATGAAAAAAGGGGTTAATCAAGAAGAAAAGAATTGATATCTCAAGAATCAGTATGCTAAGAAATTTTTCTTACTTCACAATTAATTCCTCTTCAGGCAAATTACTTTGGTTATTAGCAGCTACAGCAGTATCCGTTGTAACTTCAATTGGAGTAAAAGTGCCACTAAAACATATAAGAGGGGGAAAAAAGTCTCATTTCTCATCTAAAAAGAAGTTTTTAATATTGTTGATATCAAGATAAAATTAATTTACCAAACTGGGACAAAAAAAAAAAAAAAGAATCTGAGTTTAAAACATGCTGATAACAAAGTCTGTAAAAACAAGCAAAATCATTTATTTAAAAAAGCATATAAAAGCAATTAACTTTCTCTGATATTTTTATGGAACAAAACAAGGACAAAAAGCACATAAAAATGCATACAAAATTTATTCAAATAACTGCTTTATGTTTAAAAACTAGAATGTTCTAGCTTAAACTACCTCCTCCCCCAAAAAAATTATATACGGTCATTACTCTCTCTAGTCAGTAACAAAACTATACTATAATAAAAATTTCAAATATTTTCCTCTTTAGGCCAAATTTTCAATAAAAAGGTAACATTTTAGTGTTCTCTAGATTGTCATCATGATCAGAATCTTTTTAACATTGGATTTAAAATTTTGTTAAACAATTTCATCAGAACATTTGATGGTGATCTTTTAAGTTTATCTAAATTTATCACCCAAAAGGAATACTGTTTTCTCAAAACACCTGTCCAGTTTCATCATTTCTTTCGCACATGCAAGCAACTCTTCAGCTTTAAAGACTCTTTAATAGATTCTAAATCCAGAAAATTTACCACTTTTCACTAAAAAGTATAATAACTATTTCAATAAAAATTAGCACAGCTAAGTCAGGCCATGCATTCAGAAAGAAGTTTCTAATTGAAAACTTTTATGGTTTTACAGTCTTTTATTAACTGTGAATTTCACCATTTATATATGAAAGATTATGCAGATTTCAAATGTTGATAGATTATTTTATCTTCTGCTCTATGCATACTTTTTTTAATATATTTTAAATATTCATTGTTTAGGAATAGAATGGAGTTTTGCATAGTTATTTCAAACTATTCAAATAAACCTGCTTGATCATTTCAGTTTATACACTGATTTTAGAAAGATCAATGCAAAAAGTATAAGATATTCAAAATTTTCTAGTGGTCTTTTCCTCAAAATATCAAACAACAAAAAATTTTTTTTAATAATTTGCAGTCCTTTTTGGATTAAAGTACTTTAAGGAAAAGTTGCAAAAAACTATGAAAATCTTGCTTTCTCTCTACCTATAATTCAGATACTCATTAAGTAAAATAAATTTGCAATTTCAGCTACATTAATTTAAAAGAATTTATGACAGAAAACATATAAATATTCCATATAATGCTGAATCATAACTGAAGACGTAAGAAAGAAAGCATGATAGTTCCTTTCCAAATAGTATTGAGCAAAATAAACAGACTTATGCAAAGATATAATACCTAAAACTTATAGTCACATAAAAATAAGGTACGTATAATTAAATACAATGATACACCATTATTTATGATAAATCATGACATGATTACATTTAAAGGTACGTAATTATTACACTAGATTTTTATGCAAAGCAAACTGTCTATTTCACCTTTCATTAATTCTTTTAATGATTTATCATAAATCATTATTTTAAGTTTGAATTTTTTTTAATTAACCAAAAAACTATAATTAACATTATTTAAAAAAGTTTATGCTTTATAAAACAACAAAATAACTAATGATTAGGTTTTCATTAAAAAAGTGCAATACTTATCTTTTAGCATAAGCCTTATAAACATGACAATAATCTTTGCAAGATAAATTAAAAAGATTAAATTAATAATTTAAAGAAATAAAAAAATAAGAGTTTTAACTACTCACATCTAAAAAATCTTAAAAGAAGTAATTATACAATTTTCTAAATATTTATATTTTTAAACAGTTTTTTAAATGTTAAAAAAAATAATTATATATTTAAACAGAAATTAATACAGAACAGAAATTACAGAAATTACAATTTACAGAAATTAATACCCATTCTGCTTTTAAGTTCAATAATGTGACATTTTCATCAAGCTTGTCTGATCAGTAGAAAAAATTTTAATTTAAATTTCTTTATATATATTTCATTTCACCATGTACTGACTCAGTAGAGAGAGCTTTACGTAGATCTGATTGGCAAGTGATTTAGTACAAACTGAGGAAAAGAATCTGTAACCGTATGAGTTGTGAGGGATCAACATTTGGTTGTAAAAAACACCTGTTATGGTCTGCTAATTACAAAACACTGCTGCTCTAGTGAATTAGAACTGAAGACATTAATCTGGGTGGTAAGTTAAAGTCTGATTTTAGTTTATCTGGGCAATAGGCTTCAGCCTTGATAGGAAACAGATTGTATGCAAGAGGATTTTACATTGCAGCTTTGTTTTTCTTTGCAAAGTCTATAAGACTGGCATTTTATTTTGCATTACTTTAATTTGATCCTCACGAGTAGTGATGTAGAACAAAGTTAAGTTTACCCCATTTGCCTTATTGTGCCTAAATTAATGTATTTAATAACTTTTTCATGAACAAATTCCTAATTATTTCACATACATATATTTTGAGTTTTAACAAAATTATTTTATTTATATTTAAGCTCTTTCTTTTTCATTCACCAACGTATCCACAGTAATTTCATTAGGATATGAGATAAATATTCTCAAAACTGTGTAATGTTAATCTTATGAAATTGTTTCCTAAATTCTTAAGAACACAGAAATACTATAATTTTATCTATAATTATCTTACTCAGGGATGCATTACATTTCTACTACCACAATTAGCAAAAGTTGCACCACACAAGATATTTTTATTATGCTCTAAAATTTCTATGGAAACAATAAAACTCTCAACTACTTTTACATTAGCATAAATTAATACAATTTTTTTAACTAAGAATTTTATACTGCATTCAGGATTATACAGAAATTTATAAAGACAAATTTTTTATTTGAAATGTCTTATTTTGGAGTATAAAAAATATACATAAAAACAACTAATTCAGCTTTGCACATATAAGAAAACCACTACTTATCAACAGTAAACAGCACTTTTCTCTATTTGTATATGAAAATTTTGTTTTCTTTCATAAGGCAGGTGTAAATTTTGTTTCATACAACTTTCATTTTTATTTTTATGTATTTTGAATGGAAGTTATGAAAGTTTTTTAATGGCACTCTTTCATTATTTTTTCAAAATCACATCTGTACTTTTGAGGAATGAATGCCTTTTAAATAACACTCTTATCATGACCTTTTTTTTTTTTTTTCCATACTTTGCCTAAACAGCATTTGTCATTCCACAAAATGTTTAGATATTATATACAATGTCTAGGTAAAATACATAATAATTTTCATATTTCATATGTTTCTTACAAATGCCTGGCTAGTCTATATAGTGCCCGAGTTTTACATTTTGTCGGTAACAAATATATTAACAATGCGATATTCCACTTATGTCCTAGATGAAATTCACTTCAACTACTGGATTAATCTGTTATGAGAGATAGCAGCCTAAGGAAGTATTTGGCAAGCACGGAGACAATCAGTAGAAATACATGGTGTATACAACTGGGCCTTTTCTGATTGAAAAATAAAGCTGGAATGACATAAAAGGAATGACAACAAAACGGTTCATAGAATTTAATAACAATCCTACAGAAGATTACAAAATGAGTCTAGATATCAAAAGAAATGGCCCTTCAAACCAAGATTGCTGTACTACAAAATTTGCTTTTGCATGATGTGGCTTAGGCATGCCAAACCCATGTGTCAGTTCACAAGCATCAATTGTTCCATGCAATCCAAGATATCCAAAGCGTACTGCATGAGCCGAAGATACCATTTGCATGATGAAACGCATTGGAGGGCTGTCAGGATGTTGCAAGCTGGTGCAAGATAATCCGCTGTTGCAAAAAAGTTGAATGTACATTGCAGTATCATTCAATAGACTATGGAATAGTTGCCAAAGGAATAAAAATACCCTTGTAGAAAGCATGGATCTCAACAGCGGAGGACTACTCCAATGGCAGACAATCGCTTCCTGTTGCTATGTGACCTGTAGTTCACTAACAGCATGACAGCCGGCATTGCATCTCTCTACTACTGCAGGACAACCCACATCCCACAAAACGACAGCGCACGTCGACAGCATGAAGGTGGACTGCACACCCGGCGACCTGCGGTTTGAGTTTCTTTGTCACCATCATATGTCAGAGCACGGCTGAATTGGGCCCATGAACATCTCAGTTGGACGCTAAAACGATGGGGCCATGTATTCTTTATGGATGAATCTCGATTTAATATATAGAACGATTCCCAAAGGACAATGATATGGTGAGCGCCAGGATCATGCTATCAGGTGCCAAATATAGTCAAAAGAAACCATTACAAAGAAGAAGGCTTACTTGTATGGGCTGGGATAGGAATTAATGGCTGCACTCTAAGTGATTCCTGGTAGTTCCATCACTGCAGTCCAATATCACAATGAAATTCTACTTCCTCATGTGCATTTTTTTATCGCTGCAATGGGTACCAATGTGATATTTATGGACGATAATACCCAGCTGCATAGAGCTCGAGTGGTGCAGAGTTAAGTCAAGAGTGAAATCATGCCACATCTGCTGTGCTGTAAAATCACCAGACCTGAATTCAATACAGCATGTGTGGGACATGTTGGGTTGATGGATCGCTGTGTGCCACCAGGCAGCTTCTATGAGTTTTGAGATGTATTACTACAGGGATGGGCACTAATGCCACAACAAATGATCAACGACACTACTGCCAGCTTGCCTCCCCATTGTCAAGCATTGTCAAGCATCTAGAGGGTATCATATCCATTATTAGCATGACGTTTCCATTGCACATTATTCTAACCCATTTGGTCTTTCATAATGTTTCATGATGTGATGGTCACAATACATGCATTTTTGTACGTCTTTGCTCTATCGTTTGCTGTGTAGTCTAGTAATGCCACACCAACCTCTTGGATCAATTTCATGCATCCATTAAATAGTTTTTGTTTTATTCTGAGTTTTACCTTTGTCACTTATTTTTTAAGCAGGAGTGTTCATTTAAGGACTGCTTCTAGCATAACATTACACTAGATTTGTACTGATGTGAAAAAATGGAAGCTATTCGTGTAAAACATACAGAGGGAGATACAGAAGAATTTAGATCTGTTGAACTGGATAAATACCTGGCAAAGATAATCAAACAGACTGACTATCTAGAAAATCTAAAGCAGAATACCATATGCTGGGAAGGATCAACATAATTCAAAGAAATGATGGAAGACTGGCAAAAATTATTGCATGCTCAATGAAGACACTACGAACTCCAACAATGAATAAACATGGAAGAAAGTATCAGTAAACTGATCATCTTAATATCCTTAACACATCCTTAAGTATCACAGAACCTTCAGAAGATGGAATGCTCAAAATTACAGCAATTTACATTGAATTTACCAAATTACAACTTGGCTTGAGGTTCCTTAACAATCTCAAAAATACAGTAGAATTCCAGAAATCCGCAAAGCTTGGGACCAGAGTTTGTGCAGAGTTTAGGATTTTGTGGATTTAAGGATAGAAAAGATAAAGCATAATATTCAGACTAAAAGTGCAAAATGAATAAGGCATATTAGATACATTTAATTAAATTATTATATACATTACTGCAATAATTTATTATATGCATTAAATTATTACTACATATATAAATTGATTATATTATATGTACACAGCATTGAGGTTTGCCGATTTCGATTCATGCAAAGATTTCCGGTTTCGGATTCCGGGGTTAGAATCACTGTTGCTGTAAAATTTCAACAGCTTTTCTTTATTTTTCATAATATCATACGCAATCATGTCGAAATTCCATACAATTCTGCTATAAATTGAGGAGTAGCATCTGCTACCATCTTTTGCAGAATTTGCACTTTTTGCGTTACTATCAATGCAACGTGTTTACGTTTTTCAACGTTGCAAGCAGTAAAATCACGAGTGCGTTTCTTATCTGTCATTGTATTAAAAAGGGCTGAAATTTAAAATATTCTTAATTTATCCACAAAATATTCGGATAAAAAAAGGCAGCACTAAACAATCTCATGAAATGAAATAACAAAGCTCAGAAAATACAACAACTTGAATCGTGAGCTTGAACAAAGAGTTGAGTGAATTGTCTGCTTTTTTTACCTCGATGCATATTAGAGGGAAAACACCTTATCTTATTTATTTTATCTTTTTTTTTTTTTAACTTTTTATATAAAAAATTTGGTATTTGTGTTTTGACTTATTATTATTTGGTAATTATGACATCATTATTCGGTAAGTATTTTTTTCTTCGATATTTCGTACTCTAATGTTGCGGTTTCCGGAACCTATAAACTGAATGTTTATATTCTGAGAGGCAATATGGATTTCAGGAGTTGGCGGATTTCAGGTCGGTGGATTTTCGGTATTTGACTGTATTTTAAAATTATCCATGTGTCTGAAAGGTTATCAACAATCAAATGGTGGAAACTTTTTGGATCAAATGTAATCAGGAGTGAAATTACCCAAATGAAATAAATAGATGCATTAAAGAACAACCAGCAATTAACTTTGAAATCAAGACTGAAGTCACTCAATCCCTTTATAGACAAAAATTTGAAATAATTGGTGTAATTTATGTTAATGGACAACCACAGAATTCAAATTTGGATTAAAACAAATGTTTCCAATACCTAAGAAAGTTAATTTGACTGACTGAATTATCCTACATAATTACCAGATTGTAGGGAGAGAAGGAATCACAGACACTTTAAATCAAATAAGAGAGAAATTTTCATTCCTGAAAGCACACAGAAGAATTAAAAGTTGCCAGCAGGTCTTAGATAAACAGTACTTAACAACTTCCTTTTTGATAAACTGGATGACCACATTTTTTCCCAAATGAAGGTGAATAGAACAATTTTCTACAATGTACAGCAATGCTTTATATATGATTAAGTTAGTAAATCCCTTACACTATTTTTTAGCACCAGAGATGGCTATTAGTTTTGATCCTCATTTTTGGTCTGAATCAGTTTTGTGTCCATATCACTTTTCAAATAAAAAGATGTTGCCCAAAATGTTATTGTCATGTACTATTTTTAAAACTATAATATAGCATATATAAAAAGTGCATAAGAACACTTAAAATTAACACAAATTCTAAAGATATGCTGTTTTTAAATATGTTGAGATTCTGCTATAAAATTTTAAGTGTAATAAAATAAATATGTCTAATAAGATTAAAAATAATTAACAAAACGACAAAGAAAGTTGTGTTAAGTCTACTAAAGAAACTGAATATTGATATGAACTGAGAAAAGACAAAAAAATTAATGGCAACACTTAACACTGTACTTAAACACATGATTTAGCTACTGAATTTTATGTGGCATATGTGTGAAGATATATTTGATAATAAAGCTTTAAAAAAATTGCATTAACAGGAGTGAGTCTAAGAGAAGACTGGTAAACTGGAAGCTCATGAGATCATAAAAAAACCTTAGCAAACTTTCTGGTACAACATTAAAATTTGAATCCTTTCAGACATTTTAAATATGTAGTTTCCTATGAAGTATCTAGTTACCTGGAAAAGATCTATTAGTATACTGCAAATTTTAAACAATGTAATTCATCATATGAACATAGATAAAAGAATTAATTATAATATACAGCAATAATTTGTTTAAATTTTCAAACATTAAGAATTTTGTATATATGTAAATAATTTTAGTCTTATACATAAAATTATGGTACCTCTTCTATAATTTTACATAAAATGCTTTATGAAACTTTGTTGGAAAAATAGGATTACAGATGGAAGTCTATTTAACATTGAGTTAAATGGTTATCTTGCTAAATTGGCAAGATATCACCAAGGTGGCAATGCCTTTGGCGACTAATTTTTGTTGCTAAATTTAGATAGAACTTGTCAAAGCCACGAAGTTTGGTGCCATTTTGGTCCAGTCCTCGTACAATGGTAACTGTAACTGATCTCCATAGGTACCTGGCCCTTATATGTAGCTTTAACAGCATATGTCTTTCAGTAATTTTGAGGAATGGAAGGTACTAGAGATTACTTGGCAGCTAAGGGAAAACTATATAAGGCTGGAGAGAGCATCACTTCTCAGATTTTTACAGTTCAAAGTAAATTCAGAGTAGTGAGAGATCTCAGTGTGAACTTCACTCTTCAGATGCACTTTGCATTGCATTATGTTTAACATTCTTAGTAGTCTGAAGTATTAACTACTCATAATGCTCTGTTATTCTCAGAAGAATACATGAGTACATTTCTGGAAAGTTCTAGAACTGTTAGGTGTTTCTTTTGGAAAAATTAATTCTACCAAGCTATCATTGATTCTGTGTGCATTCAATTCATTATATACCTGCAAGCACACAACAATATATTTACATGAATGATTTAAACAGGAAATGACTTGGCTCAAATTATTTCATATTCTTTAGTCTCAAATTATTTCATATTTTATTTAAACAGGATTTCAATTGAATCAATTTCTTAAATTCAGTAAAAAAAGGTTCTGCTTCAGCATCACTTTCTCTCTAGATCTCAACATTTATATGCATATTCCAAATTCAAAGAAATATTCAGTAATTTTCAAGCTCTCTTGTGATTTTTAATTTTTTTCTAAATACCGTGCTTTTTATGTTCATTTATGAAATTGAAGATTAAAAAGTTAAGATTAAAAATTTTACTGTTTTCTTGTTTTATATTATATTCTCAATTAAAATAACATATCCCCTTTTGTCTCCCAATAATTAAATTTAATTATATTCCTGACTATTTATTACACATGAAATATGATGTTGTTGCTCATACCCAAAGACTAGCAGGGCTAAATCAGGTCGATGACATTGTGCGCCCTCAAGAATGATGTAATATAAACAAATGTACTCACTCAAAAACAAGAGGTCTTTGCATTGTTGTTGGCGCATGAGGCTGAGATGACTGTATTGACTCTGAAAGGTTTTTTGCATCTTCCTTAGAATCTGAAACTTGGGAAACTTTTTCTGGTCTAAGAAAAATCAAGAATACATTACAGAATTTGGTAAAGACTTCAATGACACAAATAATTAAGGAACACAAGGCATTCGTATTAATAATTAATTATAATAAAAAGAAAATAAATCTCACTCAAATGCAAGGGGCCTCTGTACAACAGAATGTGATATAGTTTCTCCTTTACTTCTTGACTCGCCACAAGGTTCTTCTACAGAAGATACTACTCTATTTGTCAGCTCTGTTAAAGTTTCTTCAACAGAATTATCCCTTTATAATAAAAAAAGAAAATTTAACTAAATAATAATTTAGGAAGAGAACACCTACAAACATGTTACAAATTAAAATACTGAACTTTAAAACTTTGAAAAATAGACTGTATGAGTAATAGTGAAGACAGATTTTAAAATGCGCATCATTCATCCTTAGATTAGCATTAATTTTTAAAAATGCTATATGTATTTCTAAACAGATGTACCATGTATTCTCAAAATACGCAGATATTTTTACCACAATTAGCTCTCTTTTAATTTCATCTAATTAATGTGGCAGTCTCTTATATTTAGATTACAGATATTTTTTAACAAATAAGAATTCAAAAATTCTTATTTTTAAGAAAAAATTATGTGCCCCCCCCCATACACAATGTTCTGTTTTTGCTTAAAAAAGAAATTCAGAGTTTGTAATAAATTGAATGCGCATAGGTCTGATAATAGGTTGAAAATTTTATTTTATGAAAAGAAATACATCGGAGTTCGCATATTTTCGACAGATATGCTCATACAGGTGTTCAACAGTATCACAAGTACAAATTGTAGTTACACTTCAGACTACTAGGAAAGTTAAACACAATGTACTGCAAAGCACATCTAAAGAGGAAGCTAACCTGCAGATATTTCAGTACACCGAACTCGCGCTGAACTAACAATTCACAACAAAAATGAGAACAGATGCTCTTTAACATTATATAATTTTTACCCAGTCGCCGAGAAATGTCTAGTATTTCCCGAAATTACTGGAAGGCATATGAGGCCAGGTATGGTTAGAGTTCCATCTGAAACAAATTATAATATTAATATGGTGATACAGAAACTGGACCAACATGTCGCCAAAGGTCATCAATTTGGCAATTTTTTGCCTAATTTAATGGCATAAATTAGTTGCTGACAGTGCAGTTTTTACCTCCGAATAACGACTTAACTAATTCAGCCAATGGATCAAGAGGTTATTGCAGTTTTCAAGAAATTGTACACTCGTGCGCTGTTTCGGCGATGCTTTGAAGCATGACAATTCTCCTCAAAAATGACTTTAAAAACGTTTTGGATAGAAAAATTTGACATTCTCGAAGCTATTCGTCTTATTGAAAAGGCGTGGTCAGAAATCACTCAACGACAGTTGGTTTCTGCCTGGAAACAGCTGTGTCCATCCCTCGTTCAAGGAGACAGAAGTGCTCAGGGTGACACCCCTGAAATCATGGATGAAATTGTAACAACTGCGAGAGATCTGGAATTGGAGGTGAATGAGGCTGACACCGAAGAGCTCATAATGGAACATGAAGGTGACTTGACGGCAGAAGAAATCTTGAATGAAGAACACCAAGAAACTCAGCGAAATGTGTTTCCTTCTGAAAAAGAGGAGCAATGCCGACATCTGTCATTAAAGATCTTTTGAAGAAGTGGGAGGATGTCAGAGCAACGGTCTTAAAATGGAACCCAAACCAAGCTAATGTCAATAGGGTTGCTAATCTCTACAATGACATTGCTATCAATCATTTCCTGAAAGTCCTGAAGGAGAGAGAGAAAAACGATCAACATTGGACATGTTCTTTAACGTCCAAAGAAAGGAAAAGGACTAATTAATAAGTAAGACTATATGTATGTATTATATTTGTAATAAATAAACTTACTAAGAAATTATACTTGTACATGACATTTTTTTAATTTAATTTTTAGGATCTCCAGAACAAATTAATCGAATTCCCATTAACATATATAATAAATTGGTGATCGGTTAATGAACAATTCGGATAGCAAACATAATCTTGAGACGGATTATGTTCGTTAACCAATCACCCACTGTATTTAGCCTAACTTGGTATATCATTTCAACTTTAACGTCCTTATACATTTTTAAAAAGAAATACTGACATTTCACTAAAATCTGATAAAAAAACAATAACTTCCAAATAAATTTCTCAATTTCAATTCCTATCTAAATATCTTATTTTAACATATCTAAAATGTAAACTACTATGTTATAGTACGATATTTTAGACCCACAATATAATTTTCGTGCGTCATATAAATTTTGCTTCACTTGAATTTTATGGCATTATATATTTATAATTTTGATTAGTTATTTCTGATGGGAATATAATTGATTAAAAAAGAGTCAAGTAGATAGAAACAAGCATTTTTGAAAACTAAGCTCTATAGTTTTACCTAGTTATCAGAGAATTTTCTATTGCAGATATTACTCTTTTTTCTTCTTCTTTTTGTATATTAAGAGGTAAAGCTTCTGATATATAATGCACATTCTCAGATGCTTCTTCCTCCTTCTGATCATTAGCAGACGGAACTTCTGAAACAGAAGGAGCAGACTCTGGCGAGGTATTTGCAGCAATAGATATTTCTTCCGAAACATCATCTGCACATGTGATCACCATCTGAGGAATTGCATTTTCTCCAGGACCAGCTGAAGGAGAACCGAGACATGGTTTTGGAAGCAGAGGAGGCTTAGTTTTACCTATAAGAGAAAAAGAAGAGCTATATTATAAAATTGGCTTATACTATGAATTACGGTCAAAAGTCGTTAATTCGGACACCAATAATCCGGAACTCAAAGCTTCAAACTTACTGCGCATGCGTCGCCTTGACGCATGCACGTAACGCCTTTACCGCTGAAAATATGCTTGTGTGCGTGCGCAAAATACGTTTACGAGTGCGCGTTTAATGTATAACGGACGGTATAAGCTAGGCTTAAATTATTTAATTATCTATTTCAGTTGATGTTGCAGATTGCGTTGTTCCTTAATCTTCGAATTGGATACAGCTTATTATTTTTTGCAGACTGTTAGAGCAATATTATAAAAGTAAGCTTGAACTTTCGATTATGTCAAATAGAATTTTTTATATATATTTATTAATATGTAAATGATCTACAAAGCGAAAGTATGTTTCGAAGTTCATTAAACAAAAAGTGGAATTGCTACAAAAAATGGATAAAGGCATATCCTTTGTTTATCTAAACTTTAACATTTGTTTATCTTTAACGCTGCGCAATGAATTGGAAGTTGATCTCTCAGCACTCCTTATCTTCAGGGCAGATGTTTTTATTTTATTTGGCTTATAATTCCTTACTAAATGTAGTATTTCATCTCGATGTACTCCATCTTTGATATGATTTAAATCCAATTCCTCGTCATTATAATTCGCTTCCGATAGGGAAGAAAGTGATACAGAGGTTATTGAAAACGAAAAAATTTCGATTGACAAATTAGTCGGTATTCTCGACACAGCAATTATATCACTTGAACAGCGGAACTTTGTAACTAAACAAGAAATTATGTCTGTTTAAAGAATTAAAGAGAATGTATTATCACATATAAAACGAAACAACTTAAACAACTTACATTGAAAGAAATGTTTAATAAAGTAAACAAATAAATATTAAGCTTTTTCTTTTTGTAAATTTTGATACCCTTTAGACCATAATTGTTCTTTATTTCATAAATTACGGTTTCATATTTTTAATTTTATAATTTCTGCATGCCATCTTACCAGATTTAAACTGATGATCTATAATCCGGAAAAATCGATAATCCGGAATCGCCGAAGTCCCGACGAGTCCGGACTTTTGACTGTATTTCATTCTCTTCCTATTATTATCAAATAATACTAATTTATATACAGTCAAAAGTCGTTAATTCAGACACCCATAATCCGGACCTCAAAGTTAAAATCTATCTGCGCATGCGCCGTGTTGACGCATGCGCATAGGCGATATGCGTACGCGCAAGACCTTTACGACTGCGCATATGCGTCTGCACAAGCGCAGAATACGTTTTCGCGTGCGCGTTTAATGTATAATGGACGGTATAAGCTAAACTTATCTAATTATCTATTTCAGTTAATGTTGATGATTGCGTTGTTCCTTAATCTTCAAACTGGATATGGCTTATTATTTTTTGCAGACTGTAAGAGCAATTTTATAAAAGTAAGCTTGAACTTTCGATTATGTCAAATAGAATTTCTGATGCTGGAGCTCCCAAAGGATCTAGAAAACGAAAGTATGTTTTAGATGTCCATCAAACAAAAAGTGGAATTGCTACAAAAAATGGATAAAGGCATATCCTTTGTTTATTTAACCATTCCGAAATCTGTTTATCAATTTCACGCTGTTCTGCGCGGGGGGGGGGGGGGGGGGACTTCGTGGTGCGCAATGAACTGGAAGTTGATCTGTCAGCACTATCATTATCTTCAGGGCAGATGTTTTTATTTTATTCGGCTTATAATTCCTTACTAAATGTTGTATTTCATCTCGATGTACTCCATCTTTGATATGATTTAAATCAAATTCCTCATCATTATAAATATCACAAATACAAATCAAATAGTTTTCTGGTTGCAATTTTCTAATTTCGGCTATGCGTAATGTATGCTTTACGCATGCGCGCGTTGAAAGAAATGTTTAATAAAGTAAACAAATAAATATTAAGCTTCTTTTTTGTAAATTTTGATACCCTTTAGATCATAATTGCTCATTATTTTATAAATTATGGTTTCATATTTTTAATTTTATAATTTCTGCATGCCATCTTACCAGATTTAAACTGATGATCTATAATCCGGAATCGCCGAAGTCCCGACGAGTCCGGATTAAAGACTTTTGACTGTACTAATATTGGTTTTACCTAAAATTTAAATGTTATCTGAAATGTGAATTTCACACATAATTTCCTCCTAAATCTTGAACGCCTCAAAATGAAATTACGATATCATCTATTTGGGTGTACAAAGTCTTGAGTGTTCTTTTTTTGTAACTTTGAAGCTTTATTCAGAGAAATTGGAATAACGTATTTTATTCAAAAAATTGTCCATCCTTAGCTATGACTTTTCCCATCTTTCAGGCAGCATACGGATTCCGCGTTAAAAAATTTCCTCGTCTTTTGAGGCTATTTGAGAACGGACCCAATTTTTGACTTCTTCGTATGAAGTGAAGTGCTGCTTGGCTTAGTCTTTAGTCATTGACCAGAACAAGTGAAAGTCGGAAGGACCAATGTCTCGTGAATATGACAGGTGGGATAGGACATCCCAGTGAAGCACCTCCAAAGTTTCCTTGACAACTTTTGGAGTACGTGGGCAAGCGCTGTTGTGCTGAAAGATCACTTTGTCATGCCTTTTAGCATATTGTCGGCTCAGTTGCATCAACTGTTGTTTGTAATATTCTCCTGCGATGGTTTCGTAAGGCTGGAATAGATCATAATAGATCCCACCGAGCTGATCCCACCAGACGCACAGAATGAATCCATGAATATTCAGTTTGGCTGTTGAAGTTGATGCAAAGGTATGTTTACCCCATGATTTTCTGTGCTTTGGGTTGTCGTAGTAGATCCATTTTTCATCTCCCATCATGATTCGATGTAAAAAACCCCTTCTGATTTTACCTTTGGAACAATAGTTCGCACATGAAAAAAAAACAGTGCTCGACATCTCTTGACTTGAGTTCATATGGAACCCAGCGAATGGCCTTAGGACATAAAATTGAAGTAGCTGGTACAAATTCTATGTAATTATATGCCAATATTGAAAGAAACATTCAATCTGATAAGAAATGGCTATGATTTGTTTTGAAAATGTAAAGTTATAGTAAAAGGTTACCAGTGAGGATATTTCGTTTGGCATCGGTTGTACCATTAGTGGCAACTTTATTGCTTGCGCCGGCAAAATGGAAAAGTACCAAATTTTAATATAAAATAAATTTTAAAAAACAACAACAATGAAATAAAGAAAAAAATTCACACAAAAAGGTCACTGACTGCAACCAGAATAACTTCACACATCTCATATTATTTACTTATTTATCTTTTTAGTTTTATCTTATACTTTACAAATTCCACAAACATTTCAAGCTCAATGAAGAAACTTTAAAAACCTAAAAATACCTATCAAATCATCCTAAAACTGTTTTCACTGTAAGAAAGATTTTTTTTTTTATTTAATGTATTATATTTAATTTGATAATCTAAAGATATGAAATACAATAATAATTTGGTATCTTATAACAATCTGATGTTCTTATTTATTAGTGATGTTTGGCAAGTTTTCACAAAAATAAATAAATAAACTATGACTTATAATTGCAAATGAAATCATTTATTACATATATATTTTACATTTAGATGTTTATTCTAAAAATCCACCACTAAACTTTTTTTTAAATGTTCTGTAGGAAATTTCATGACTTTCACTTTTAAGAATAGGATACTTTTCAGTTAGCCATGTGCAAATCTCACCAATTTTGGGGGGGGGAAGGGGGGCAATGTTTTACGACTAATTGCACAAGTGACCAGAACAAAATGGCTGTTACCCAAAACAAAGCTGAAAATTTGCATTAATATACAAAAAAAAAAAGTATTTTATTTTCATAAATATACAAAGAAGAAATATTTATTCAATTATTCAATTCTTCCAAGATATGCAAATGCTCTTTATGCTGCAGCAGGTAAAAACATTGCAAATCCATCAGAAAAATAAAGTTTAATTTCATGATTTTGATTACATGTTAAAGCTGTTATCAATATCTGTCTTTTTGGGGAAAAAAAAAAAAAAAGACAGCCTCCCTTTTTCACTTTGTGAAAAGTCCCAAATTTTCAGCATTTTTGAATATGAAATTTACATGTTAGTAAAAACAGATGTAGCCTGTTTTAAATGAATACTGGAAATGAAGGTTAATGATTTCCGTCAGGTTTGTATGCAATTTGATTCAGGTCTAAATTATTTGGTAACTTTCTACTTGCACCCAGTTAACCAAAAAGTACCAAGAATAGATTTGAAATAATTTTTCCTTCAGCAATTTTGTAACAACAGTATTCCTACAGAATCTTTACTGCAGTTTCTTCCACTGCACACAAATCTCACATACGGGAATTTTATAAATGAACTAAAGATTAAAAAACACCATGATTTTGTCTATAAAAACTATTGGCACATTTTGAAAAGTTGGCAGCCTTTGACAAGAAAGTTGTGCTAATGCAATTGGCACACCAGTGGCCGAGTGGTAAAGTCACTAACACTAGTAGTTTGGTAAGAGCTCCGACTCTCACCGTACAGACTGGCTGCATCGGCATTTTCATGGTTTTCCCCATGTGTAACATTGATATAAGCCAGTGATACAAGCCCTTGAAACATTGCTACAAGGCTTTAAAAAGTCCTCCAACTGGGCATCCTCCCTCAGATGGGTATCTGTGTGTGTGTCACTGCTATCAAATTTTTAAAAAAATACATAAATATTCAATCTGAATTTTTATATTAAAACTGCACAAACACAAATCAACTGAAACATACAGTAGCACTCCAATATCCAGATTAAATGAAGTCACATCCAAACTGAAACTGAGAGATAAAGAAGCTATTTTACTTTCCGAAAATTTAATACCTACCTATTGAAGTTCAAATAATATAATGCAAGTAATAATTCTAAAAATTATATATCATGAAGAAAAAAATGACTATCCTTAAGGATATAATTTCATCCACAAAAGGAAGGAATATATATATTCAAAGGCTAACTGAAAGTAATTGACTGTTCTTATCTGTGCATTAAGCTCAAAAATTCTTACCAAGAATTCTTGTTTGTTAAGATTAAGAAAAACAACACTTATTATTACAAAGCAATGGCTCATGCTATAAACCAAAAACATATATGGAAAGGATAATTATTTTTCACCAACATTTGTAGGCTGCATTTTCACTAGATGTGTTAGGTCAACCTACATATTGTATGCATTCATATAAATTAGTTTACCACTTTTTTTTTTTTAAAAAAGCATGCTTTTATTATCATTTTATATTTTAATGAAAAAATTTTAAATATGCAACTTTAATTTTGAGCTAGAGAAAAAAGCTATAAACATAGATAAGATTTCAATATTACTGGTTTTCACTAGATATAAGCAAACATACAGAACAATGGAACTTAGAATATCAAAACTTTCAAGCATTAATAAAGCATCAATAATACCAGAAAATCTCCTCATTACAATTAAAATATATAGTGATAAGGTCACAATACACTTAAAAATATATTACTATTATTTCAAAGAACTTTACAAAAATATAGAATATAATTGCAGATATGTTGTTAACTCAGAATAGAGGACGGAAACAAAACAAGAAACTTTTAACTAAAAGATTTATGTACAAGAAAAAATCAATAGAAATAAATAATAATATCTGAAATAAGAATAAAATGAAACAATTCCTTATACATAATAAATAAGTAGCTTATTTTAAAAGAAAAGAAAAACTGTATTTTGCTTTAAATTTACTAATGAGTTTTTATTTCTCTATCAAAATATTTCAATACAATCCTAGGACAATCGCACTCAGAAAAAAATTAATACTCAAATAACTTTTTAAATATTTGAAAAAGACAAATTAATGTAAAACAAAAGCATTTTAGTGATAAATATTATGTATTCCATACAGTAAAACAATATTTAATTAGATTAGGATTATATTATTATAATAAACAATATTTAATTAGATTAGGGAAATAAAATTCACTGGAAGAGAAAAGAAATCTATCTTGCTCTGCAAATACATGCAATCACACAAAAAAGCTAAATGAACAGCAAATATTGAAATGCTATGTTGATTTCAATTTACTAAAATATTTTATGGTAAAACTACACCATATTTAAAAAGCCAAATATCAAATTAAAAATTTAAAAACTACATTATTGAGAAGGCATTTAATAAAAATTTAAAAAAAAGGTGAGCTGAATCATTAAAAAATTTTTTTTTTAATTATGAGTACCTCAAATATATTTAAAACAACATTAACCAAGGCTATGAATTTGCAAATACTGAAAATCAATAGAAATATTAGGATCACATAGCCTAAAAATCAAATAATCTTCAGATAAGAAATCCTAAATTGTTTTTATTTATTTATTTTTAAGAGTACTCAGTGTCTTAGAGATATCTAGATGTATACATTTAAAAAGACATAAAATAATAGTTTCTGACAATAAACTTTAAATAACAAAAACAACAGCTTAGTTGCATATTTTATAAATAAACAATCCCCTTACACACTGTGTGGGAAATGCTAAATATAGTTTTAAATGAACTACTTTTACTTAGTGTGTTCAGCTGGCACAATGCCAGTCCAGAATTGCACACTTTGCTCCATTTAAAAGGAACCTAACATTTTCAAGAAAGAGACACAGAAAATGTTCTTGAACATTCAAAAAATATTTTCTATGTGAACCCATAACAACAGTTTTGTATTTCAGTAATTTTAAATAAATATCTACATAAATATGTAATTAACAAATTAAAATAAAACAAAAATTTAATGCTGTAAATTGTTATGTTGTATAAAGAGTATGAATTTTTATTGGAATAATATTAACATAAAAAGATTTTATGTAGATTTATTAACTAAGGCAAAGTAAACAATGACTTAAAAAAATGGACCAGTTACATTCAAAAACAATATGTAAATCTATACACATATTGTACATATATTCTGTTTCAATTTACATACAACAATATATAAATAAAAATATTCTTATCCTCCTTATTTACCTGATTTCTCCTTTTGGTCTTCAGTCATACTCATTTAGGCAGCTTTTATTTACAAGGCTGAATGTAAAAAATACCTACAAAAATTACAATAAATATGAAATCAAGAAAAAACAAATTCTATCATAAAATTTTATTAATTAAATATGCTGAAAACAATGCTAAAACAATAATTTCCTGGGTGAAGGGACTGAGATGACACACATTTTGAATATTTATCAATTCACATTATGCCTATTAAATAATTACTTTGAATGAAAGGCCATAAAAATATTGCCCAATTTCATTTTTGTCTTCAATTAATTTTTTAAACAAATTAAAAAATTAATTTTACTTCCAGTTAAAATTAGTGAAGAAATGGGAAATTATTCCTTGAATAAATACTTTAAACATTGAAACATTTTTTACCCTTTATTAATTCTGTTAAAGGACAAATTTTACCCTTTATTAATTCTGGTAAAGGACACATCGGATAAAGCTGAAAATTTCATTGATTTTTTTTAAATGAAAAGTCGAATGCAGAAATGCTGGTTGTAAAAATATGAGTTTTAAAAATATTACATAACACAACTGCTTTACTAAATTTAAAAACTGAATTATCTGCATATTCCAGAAAATGTTTTTCAATGAGAAAACCTCTTAATTAGTATCCTGATACATATGAAAAGCTGAAAATGATAGAGATTCATTTGGCAAATGGACATTAATAAGTTCAAGGCTTTTATAAAATAGCTCAAACTGTGAACAATGAAACAAATTTACCTCAGGCTTATCTATTACTAAATAAACTAAAAAGCTATAATCATTGCTTATTTCAAGGTAGAAATGTCCATTTCAGACACTGCCTTCCATAAAATATCTTTCAGCATCACAAATATTTTTCATGTTTGACATGATGATTATACTCAAGTCTAATTTTATCTCAGAATTATCACGAATAGCTATATGTCAGAAATAACTGATAATGACTTAGCAAACTAAAACCTATAAATTTTCTTGCTACTGTAAGAATATATGCATTGTATAGTATATGTTCATGACTATACAGAGCTGTAACTAGAGGGGAGCAAGGGGGGACATCTGTCCCTGGGCAAAGCATTCAGGGGGAGCCAAACCGATGTTACGAAATTTTAGAATTAAATATTTTCCTTTCTTAGCAAACAGGAGGGGGCACAAAATCTTCAGTTGTCTACAGGTGCTATGACCCAGTTACTATAGCATATTTCCCTATTTCTAGAGTCAATTTTATAATATAAATAAACATTCTTCACAGTAAATTGTCATAATTTGTTCATTGTCAAATGTACACAAATCAATACTTATATGACAGAATATAACACAACTAAGAAATCGATTGGCTAGCTGAAAACTTTAATAACAAAATAATAGATCAATCGATAATCTTTGTGAAATCAAGTAAAACAAGATTTGAAATACTTCCCAATGTCACAAAGAAATATACTTTTAAAAAACCCTAATAAAAGCAGTGCAATTAAGAAAACAATACATTTGAAAAGTGCAATATTTTTATTTTAAAATGAAAAATTTAACTATGATATGATGATAATAATTTCTAACAAATACTGACCTTTCGCTTATGACACTTAGAGAGTGCAATTTTTAAACATATACTATGTAAATGAAGGCTGTATTCATTTAGCATTGACAGTTATTATTTCAGCAAATGAATGAGAAGTAACAATGGATATATCTATCAATTCCCACAGTTTTTAGTTTCTTTGATTATCATGGATATCTTTTACACAGTGTTTGAGCCCAATGGAGACATAATCAATTTGAAGCACCACTGATGCCCACATCAGTCAGAACCAAAGAAAATTTATAGCAAAAGACATTATTCTACTACATGCCTGTACCAGAACACAATGCAGAATCTAGCTGAGTACGACTGGGAAGTTTTTCATCAAAGCCCTACAATTTAATTTCTTTCAATTCTTTTCTCTGTATCATCAGCCAATTTAACAGAGATTTAATTGGCAAGACATTTTAGTCAGATGATGCAATATGCAAGGCAGCGTCTTGAACTGACGGCTTCTACAAGATCAGGAATGGTCAACTGATGAATCAGTGGCAATGCATAACTATTGATTGGATTATTGACATGTAAGTTTATTATTTCATTATGTATGGACTTGCTTTCATTTTACCTTCGTGCTTTTTATTATGAAACTATCCTTAACATTATGTAAAGTATGGGTGTCTAAAGTGCGGCCCCAAAGTCTTTAAAATATGGCCTAAACGCAAATTATGAAAATATTTAAATTTACACATTTTTGTTAAAAAAATAAATGTTTGAATTTGATTTATATATAATTGATTTGTTGATATTTTTTTAAAATAAAAACATCTTATTATGTCATTTGATGTATTAAACCCCTCCACGTATAGGTCTCGCGATTTCCACAGGATGCAAAATCCAGTCTCGTAATGTGGGTCACGTGAAAATAGGATGCATAAGTTTAGTTCTCAAATTTTCAAAACGGATCCCGCTTTTTCTGCATGTAGGCTAAGAATATAATATTCATATTTCACCTCTCGTTTTGCACCTAGATGTCGCTACAGGTTTATGTCACTGTAAGGGGGTACTATTGCTTCTTTCATTCTTGGCGGGAACTGTCTTTGTCATTTTACGGGACCAGAATTTCAGGTTTATAAGCAATAATAATGAGTAAGTACAAGTAATATTATTAGCTGTACAAATTTGTTAGCATGCAGATCAATTTATACTTTTGCAGTTCACAAAAGTTCACAACTTGTAAAATATTTAAATACATTCTAAAACTGTTCCAAGCGGTATATTTTACCACACACGAGAATTTACTTTTTGATTTATGTGAGTATCCACTAGATTTTATATTTCCAAAAATAATCAACCATTAATTGCCAATGTCTTTTTGCTGTCATTAAACTTTTAAAAACTGTGAATTTTTTGCATCTTTATGAAATTCAAACTAAATGAAATGAAACTTTTACAAATTAATAATAAATATGTACCTATACATACCTAGTTTAAATTAAAAAAATTAATAGTAAAAAGAAGTTAATTTATTTTAATAAAACGACATAGAACTAATTTTTATTTCAATTCGTTAAAAAATAATGTATGTGTGGCCCCGCAAATTTTTGTTTCTTTGCAGTGCTGCATTACAAATTTTTTTTATTTGCAATGTGATCCTCAAACAGTCACAGTTTAGACACCCACGATGTAAAGTGATACTTTTCCATAATATTAAATACTGTTTTGTTTGTTTTTACATTTAGTCCAACAGCTTATGTTAAAGGATTGGTTACAGAACTAATATTTCACAAAAGACCAGAAATTGAAATTTATAATTAATAAATTTCTAATAATCATATAAATGCAACAAAGAATTTTTAAATGTTTTGAAATTTAATGAAAAATGAATAAAAACAGAAGAGGAATTCAATCAACCTCATCACTTCATCAGATGACACTTCATCAGGTTGATTGAACTCCTCTTCTGTTTTTGTTCCTTTTTCATTAAATTTCAAAAATTTTTGAAGTGAGGTTTTGCTTGTTTGAAATGTTTTGGTTTTAACATTTTAAAATTCTTTGTTGAATTTATGATTATTTGAAATTTATTAATTATGAATTTCAATTTCTGGTCTTTGTGAAATATTAGTTCTAAATTTCTTACTTTATGTCTTTAATGATAATTTTTCTGCATCTTAATAATGCGTAAAAATACTGGGCATGTTTGTGTTTTGTTCAAAAGAATTGTTTCTGTTTTTTTCAAAGAATTGTTTTCTAAATATATATATATATATATATATATATACACAGGGTGTCACAAAAGGTCATGTCCAAATAGCACATAGCACATATAGTTGTGTCAGGTCATGAGGAATCAGAATTACATACGAACAGGGGGCTGGAAATGTGACTGTAATATGCTAGAGGGTGATATGCGTTGGCAGAGGCAAGCACGGTGCAGTTGAATTAGTTGGAGCACAGACGTTGCTGGGAAAGGATGAACCAGTACCACAATATAGAATTGGCACACATGCATTACATGTATGCTGCTGTGGATGGCAATGGACATGCCGTGATACATATGTATCAACAACGGTTCCTGAGCCGAACCGTACCCTACCATACACTGTTTGGACAATTAACATCAATTGCAGGAGGCAGGATTGTTCAGAATCAGCAGCCACATCGGCCAGCAATGTACGACATGGACAGCAGATGTTCAGACCACTGTATTAGAAACAATGAGACGGATGTAGATTGCGACCTAGGTGTTGATCACTCCTCAACTATGCGACCCACAATTTCCATCATGGATACTGTTCACTGATGAACCTACCTTTTCCCGGGATGGTATCTTCAACCAGGACAATATGCATGTGTAATCGGCTGTAAATCCCCATGTCATATTGCCTCACAGCCACCAAAAAGTTTCAGCATTAACATCTAAGCTAGAATTATTGGTGACATGCTGATTGGTCCATACGTAAGCCTCAGTGCCTTGATGGGGTTTCATATGCCATTTTTTTGGAAGAAGTATTGCTCAGGTTGTTAGTGGATGTTGTTAGTGGATGCACACGTCGAGGCATGCCATACATGTAATGCATGGCATGCCTCGATATGTGGTTCCAACATGATGGGGCTTCCTCACATTTCCACAGGAAAGTTTCTGGGCTTGATATACTCAGATCGCTGGATTGGCAGACGCAGCCCTGTACCGTGGCCACCGCTATCCCTGGACTTAAACTTCTGGATTTAAATGTCTGAGGGTACCTTAAGAGTACCTTATTCAAATTATTCATAATTCTGGTAATTATTATTTCAGACTAAATTGTAATTGCTATAAGAACAGATTTGTTTGCTTTTAATAATTCATCTGAATTACTTCAAAGTGACATATATATATGTAATATAACGAGTTTGGGGTCAGTATAGCATTCGGTTTTAATTCTTATAAATAGCTCTTTTTAGTACGAGTTTCTACTAATTAATATTTTTATTAGATATCTCAGAGTAAAACTGCTGTTGATTTTCTATGAGAAGACATTAGTTTATCTTCAGTTG